ATGCCCAACCTTTCCTCTTTACCAGTTTTATTACTGGCTTAGCACGTCGGTCGGGCATCAAACTCTGGACCACATTCGTGGTCTGCGAGCATCCCAACGCTGTGCCACCGACACATCATTTGAATCGGTCAGTTGCTGTTGACGTAATGAGTGAAAGTGATGAGAAAATCTTATCCACTCTGGGATTCGAACTACTGACTTCCAGATTGTTAGTCTAGGACTGTATTGGTTGATGACTACATTTTAAGCATTCTAAAATATTTTGTCATATACACTGAACGGTTATGTCATAACTTAACTTCATAACTCTTTAGAAAAAAACTAAAGGCTTTGGCTTGAGTAGATCTCGATGGAGCGGGGGGGAGGGTTAAATTAAAGGTTGTATGCAAAATAAGTATTTCACTTTCTTACTGAAGTAAAGCTTGAACATTGTGTAATGAATCAATACAATTAGTGTCTTAAAGTCGACTGTCACCACTATATCCATTTAATATTATTAATGATGACTATTCATTACTTGTAACTCATTCGTAATATTTCTACCTCTCTCCATCTTACTCTTTGTTCTTTATCTAAAATATGATTACTTACATCATTATAAACTGTATTAGGAAAAATAGTGAATACAGCTCATATTAGGTGATCAATTGAAATACTGACTAGTATGGTATATTCATATGAAGAATATTTGAATGTTCCTTGCACTTATAGTTCAGTTGAGAAAGTATAATCATAATAATGACATGAATTAAATGAGTTCTACTCAACAAACAGGTGTTTGTAAGTAATCTGTAGAATATTATATATATATATATAACATATGACTTCAGTAGTTCATACTGAGTAGTCATCACAAAAAATAGGGTCATATATACTATATATGGAAAGCAATGCATATCTGATTTATGCTTTAATCAATACTAAGTTGAAGAAATATATAGTAAGCGATGTTTAGAATAATTCTGTACGGTATACATAATGGGAAAGGAGGGGAGAGGGCGGCTGACTAGGCTTTTAATTATAATGAAAAGAAAGAAATAACGATTGAGAATCTTTAGATATTGACAAAACAGATTTAGTTCAGCGGTACACCTCAGTCGAACCCTTTATGAAACAATACAAAAAAATTCAAGTGTTGGTTTGTAGGGATTTGATTGGTTTCAGGATTTCATCATGAGCTGACATTAGTTAGAGAACCATTGGAAAACCTGGAACAAAAAAATTCATTTGAACTGTGATCAAGATTTGACAGAATAGTTTTAAAATAATTCTGATTTGCTTGAAGGATTACATCGTGAGCTGACATTAGTTAGAGAACGATTGGAAAACCACCTTGGAATACTGGACGACTGTTTCGTCTACCTACTCTGGGACTCTTCGTCAGTACGCACCCACCGACACGGTTCGAACCCAGGACCTTCTGGTTATAGGGCTATCGGGCTCGTAGACCAACAAGCTACTGGGACCCGATCCAATGGCCATCCCACGAATTCTAACTTCTGCCAATTCACGACATAGCGCGACCATTTCGAAATGTCTTCTTCGATGAGTTACTACCTCACCTTCAACCTGTTGCAGCCTCCTGGTTACGGCTTCCCACTAGAACCCCAGGTAACTATCTACCTGAATACAGCCAGTCGCCAGTGAGCATCCGATTAATTTTCAAGTATTGGTTTTGTAGGGATTTTGTTTGATTGGTTACAGGATTTCATCATGAACTTCAGGATTGACAAATAAAGCCAGTGTGACTGTTATTTTTAAAAAAAGTAGTGGTCGGGAATTGATATCAGTAGAAGAATCATTGAAAATCAACTTAAGTATCTCATGAAATGGAATCATGGACTAATCAGATGTGTGTGTACATATGGAGGTGCGACTGATTCGCTAAAACACTCAGTATTCAGTCCGGACTTCAGTTTGTGCAAGTAGGTAGTAACACCAGCTCTTAGACAATATGCACCTCAAAACTCACTCTATAAAAGTGTGATCCAGTGAATAAGTTCAATCTAACAAATTAAATGACTACAACCTTTATTCCTATTACTTACTGGCCTCGAGACGAATTTAGTGGAATTCTAGTGGGGAGTTTACGACTTAAGGAAGGTGGTTGGGAATATCTGCTCACCAGCCACTATAGCGATTGCTATTATAAATCCTGAACTAGTATAATTCTGGTTGGGGGTGGGGTGGGGTAGAAGTATGGAAAAATTTGGAATTTCTATTTCAGCTTAGTGACTAAATTCCATTGTGTTCATTGTGATACTGCTTCGGAAGTCAATCAAGTGTTATAGGATGTTATTTTTTAGTCATTGATTGATTACCCTGCATCAAAATGGTTGGTCTCTGGACCCACGTTGACTCTTCATATAGGCGGTTAACATGATATTATTTGTCTGCTGAGGCATCTCATAACCTAGTAGTCTAGTGGAAGCGACCAATGCAGGGTTCTAGTTTCAGTCCGATAATTTTTTTTTTTTAGATTTACAGCTTGATTCCACACTGTATTTCTGGTACAAGTATGGAATTTTCAGCATGGATATCGGTAGCCCGAATTTCGCAGGTTGACCATAGATATCGGGTGTGCGCCGGCAGGGGATCGAACCTCAAACCATGTGCATGGTCGGCGAGAGTCCTAACCACTGTGCCACCGACGCGTAAATCAACAATAAATAAATATGGTACTGCCGAGTTTAGATCAGTAACAACCGCTTAGACCTATAATGTACTTTTTTTAATTCTAAAGTATATTTACTATCTCGATTTTTCGCCATGTCTAAGAAGGCGATAACCCTCAATACACTTTTGTAATTCAGTAAATTAAGCCAATTTTTATAAGGAGTGCTTACGTAATGAACTAGTGCTTATTTCCGTATAACTTGCGACTTTTCAACAATGTGCAATTATTACTCCATAAGACATCATGAGGGAACGTTGTGATGGAAATCAAGAGTCATATAAACTCTAATTCCATGACTAAGTGATGTAATGCGTCGATGGCATAGCGGTTAGGATGCTCGACGACCATGCACATAGTCCGGGTTTCGATCCCCGGTCATGGACGCACTCCTTTACCTCTCTAAGCCAGAAGTAACGCTGGTAAAAAAGAAAGGTTGGGAATGAGGCTAGCAACCCCATCCTGTAAAATAAATACACCGCTACAGAAACTTCAAGCCACTAGCTTGAAGCCGCCCTATGTTCCACTGGGGAACGTGAAGGAAAAAAGATGATGTAATGTTTATTCCCTAAGTTAGAGATTCCTTAGCTGTATGCTGCGTGTACAAGTGAATAGTTTCAGATTGAAGGCCGAATATTTTTTGTTTTATTTTTTTCTAATAGGCTGTAGGTAAAATCTGTCAGCAGTTAAAATTCCTGTGAAAATAATTAAATAATTTTAATTTTCTCCTTATAAGTAGACAGGTGAAGTGATGATGTTTCCAATAAACTTTATTGATTTTAGTAACTGTCCAAATAAGGAAAGATAATAAATTTATCGGCTATAAAAACAATGATAACGTTCATACTTTTTAAAAAAAAACTGGATGTGTTACTTCTTCAGTTTTGCTATGCTTGATAGAGAAACACAAACCAAATAGAACGAATCACTTCAAAATATGCTCACAGCAGCGGTATAAATGTGTGGAATAAGGTTAAGGTGTCTTTTTAGGGAAAAGTTTATCTAGCTAGTTAGGGCGCTAAGTTAAGTGCGTTGAAACAGTGTGTATGTGTTGCCCAGAGTAAATGAAGCACGAAATAATGCCCAAGTCTGCTTGAATAGATGCTCTGGGTAAGACAAAGTTTAAAGCTCCTTAAGCATCAGGGGGCATTTGAGTCCAACTTATTTATTTCTGCCTAGATTGTATTTGACTGGCAGGATGTCACATTGTCAAACGTTAGCTATGTAAACTCCCTAACTGTATGAAATTGTATTGATGTTTAGAATATTTTCTGATCGTTCAGTAATGAAATTGAACGAAGATTAGAATATAGTAGCAAAATACTATAATAAGGCGTTAGTAGTCCAGCGACAGAATGCCAATCAACTACATATGTGGTCTGGAGTTCAGTCCCCTGCCATTGTACTTCTAAACTTCACTTAGCTGATAGTAAGACCGATAAAGAAGAAAAGCTGGCTTGGGGTTAACGACCCCACCCCGTAAAATAGAATAACACTGCTACTGAGACTCTGAAGCTTAAGCTTGAAGTCCTATTTCCAATCGGAAGGCAAAGGAATAAAATTTCAAAGAATATGCAGAACTCAGTGACAGTATAAATAACTAGATGCATGATCTTATTCTGCCTTATCATATACTAGATGACGACTCAGGTATTAACCTTTCTCCCAGGACACTTTCGAGAGGTCATCGTAGAAGTGTGTTTAAAGCGCCATCAAATGTGATGTGAATGGAGTTCAAGTTCTCATATCGTGGTGGTCAAAGATTAGCCCTCTTTATTGGATTTAGTAATATTGGCTCTAACGTCCTTAAGGCGGAATCGGATCTCTACGCAAATAGTACCTAATAAGCACTTAACTAAAGGTTGTTAACGTAAGTAACTTCAACACTCTAGGTATACTGTTATAAATTGGATACTTTATTAGTATATTGGTTCATCTAACATACCTATTTAACCTGATGCTATTTACAATGTTGACGGGATTATAAGTACACCTTGTTGACAAACATCCAACATGTCACACATGAATTTCGTTTTGTGTACTACGAATATTACTCAGACTTCAATTGAAAAGCAAACTCATAAGACGAAATAAATTTATAAAACACACGATCCCTTACTTTGGGAATCCTGATTGAAATTAACCTCACCTAGTATACTAAACAAAGGTAAGTCTGGATAAAGAGAAAAGGTTTGGTTTGGTGTGAAAACAATACCATCGCTATTAAAACTCCCAAAGCCCGGAGCCCTGTGTTCCACTCAGAACTTAGGGGATGAACATATTAAAAAAACGCAAAATTAAAACGAAACTGATTATCATTACTTACCTAATTGTTTATTAACATTTTGACTTAATTGGTTGTACGGGATACGGTAAGCGTAAGAGACTCCATTCTGAAAATTTTCTTGATAGTGTTCATTACTTCTATCACTATTATGAATATTATTATAATTATTTAATGAATTCCTCCAGGGATTACAACAGCCATGGTGATTCAGATCACCGAGGCTATTATGATGTTTATCTGTGTGCTGATGTTCAGTTACTACTGCATGCATGTTAGAATGAAATGTGTTATTGTGAGTAGCAATCATATTATTATGATAATTATTGCTTATGTCAACGTTACTATTGTTGTTCTTATTCAGACGCATAATCGCTTCCATATACTGCATAGTCATGTCTTGAAGATGACCGTTATCCACTGACAATTTAGGCGTCATCATGATTAATAAAATCGACAGAGATTCATTTGAGTCTGTTTCAGTACTTTTTTTACAAAATAAGTTGAGCGAAGCAAATGTCTTTACAAGAAAAAATTCTATTCAAAGAAATACATGAAATGAATACCACTTCAAACACTTCTTGGCTAAATATTTATTTTAGTTGCTTCTGACTTGTCGCTTCCAACCTGTTGCCTTCACGAATAAGTAGGAAAAAAGCAGAGGGGGGGTTCGCAAAAATGCTATTATTCATCCATTTGGTTAGTATAATATTGGCTACTAAAATGGATCCATCACCACCCACATATCCTACTGATTCAGTAACCTAATATACTGTTAACTAGTTACTGATTGGCTAAGATTGATCCCAGCCGTATATAAGTCATCCATTTAAATATTAGGCATATTTGATTGGTAGAAAGAATTATGTATCCACCAATCATAATTAAGCTTTTGGTGTGACTTTGAAAAAGCAGGGGCGGAATAGAAATGAATGGTAGCTATAATGACTATTTTTTTTTATTTGTACTGTTGCATGGTTTACTAAAAGCCGAACGCGCATAAAATAAGATAGAGAGAGAGAAGACAAAATTTGTGGTCTCTATAGTCATAAAGAACAATAGCGCGTAATTTATGTAGGCGACAAGCATTAATATGTAACAGAATTGGTACAATGTGAAAATGTAATAATGTCGGTAAACATGAGATTCACGACGTGTAGTTCTATTGTCTGACTTTTTTCGGATTAGAAATGTCGTCATCATTTAGAAGAATTAAGAAGAGTATGAGAAAAAAAACAGATGACATTACTGAATCGACTTGAAAAATTCACATGAATTTTCGAAGATGATTTGAAGGTAGAAAAATAAATTAGTCTATTAAAGTATTGAACAGTAACGATACAACCGAAGTGATGAATAGCATGTTTCAACCAGAAACTGTTGGTTTACTCTTCTGTTTTATTTCAACAGAATAACAAAGTAGACATGTACATGTGGTCACACATACCTAGTGAGAAATCATCAGTCTTTGCAAGTAAGGGTTTCAGAGCATATTCCTAAATGGTTTCAGAAGCAAATCAAATTCCCTGAACCCATTAATAATGAAAAAAGACGGTCCAACTCTTCTGTTGTGAAACGTATTACAGCCACAGAGCATAAAAATGACGTTCACACTTCTTTTAAACCTACCTATAAAGCATGTTTAGGACATATGCTACAGTTTGAGAAGGCCCTAGAGATTAGGGAGTTTAGACTACCTTTATGCAATCAAAACACACTAATCATTACACTAAACCTTCCTAGGTAATTTATAATGAATCAATCTGACTCGGTGCTCAAATTATTCCAGGAAATTCGTAACACCTACGGTCTGGAAACTTATAATTTCTATAGTTTGTTTTGTAAGGGTTAGTTATGTTTTTTTTGCGAGTTGATCACGCATTGATATCAGTTAGAGAATCATTGAAAACCACCAAGGAATACTGGAAAGCTGCTGTTTCATCCTAGTTTGGGAATCATCGGCAGTACGCACCCACCACCAGACCTCGAACCCAGGACCTCCCGGTTGTAAGGCAAGCTCGTATACCATTCAGCCACTAGGAACCCATAAACTTTGTTTTGACACCAGGATAGATGTACTATTATCTCAGTTCTCTGGTTTACAGATCTCCATTATTATTTTGACTTTCAATATAGCCTCATAACTTGACCTATGTCTATTCCATTACCCCTTAACACTTTATTGTTTTCATATATATTCCTGTATTAAGTACGTGTGTGATCAGATTGCATGAAATGTGGTCGACATAAATACGTCTCCTTATTGTTTTATCAAAATTCATAAAGGGAGCTAATTTTTTCAGATACTCTTTTATTATTATTATTATCTAGAGGTATATTCGTGCGTCGGTGGCACAGTGGTAAAGTGCTCGCCGACGACGAAAGTGGTTCAGGGTTTGATTCCCTGCCACCGAAGCACTCCTTTACCTCACTAAGCCGGCAGTAAGAGTGGTAGAGAGGGAAGATTGGGCATGAGGCTAGCAGCTCCATCCTGTAAAAATAATCACCACTGCTATCGAAACCTCAAGCCTCTAGCTTGAAGCCCTATGTTCCACTGGGAACGTAAAGGAATGAAAAAAAAGAGGTGTATTCATTGTCTTCACTTTGGTCCAACTGATCGTCAATAGACAGAAGTTAGAATTGATAAGCCATTTAAATTCTGTACCAGATGTTGAATGGCCAGTGAACTCACCTTCGATCAATGGTAGGATCATAGGTGTGCGGCGCTGAAGAGCCCTAACCATGTACGAAACATATGTCCACTGCTCGCTTGTTTTCATTCAATGGTTCTCTAAATGAAGTCTGCTTGAGTTCAAATTTGACTGATTACTTTTGACCCAGTCAGAAATTAAAGTAGGATGATTGTAACAATACTATTGATTATTTCATTGAATTTTTGATTTTCCCGTCGATTGTTTGGACCGAAATGCTCGGTCTCAGGTTGACATGTCGGCTACTTGAGCAGATGCTTCGACGATGTCTGGGCAGTTAATTAGCATTTAATTGGTGGATGGTGACTAGCAGTGGAATCCAGGATGCGAATTTCGTCCTATTTGGGACTCGTCATCTGAATGTACCTGCATTCCGAAGTGAGTGATGATGTTCCCACCGAGGCTCAAACCCTGTGCACTTCATTTCAATCAATCAACAGGAAAATCTAAAATTCAATTAAATCAATATGACCCGTTGCACAAGAGGCGGCTCTCGTGGCCCAAGTGGTATAGTGGCGTTTGAAACTATGAGCACTGGGTTCGAGCCTCGGTGGGAACATCATCACTCACTGAGAAATGCAGGTACATCCATCTGACGAGTCCCAAATAGGACGAAATTCGCATCCTGGATTCCACTGCTAGTCACCATCCACCAATTAAATAATAATATTGATTGTAAGTGAAAGGGGATTTAAATAAATATGTATTGAAAAGTTAATAAAAAAAACTGTATTGTAAATCCTTTCAAAAATTAAGAAAAGCTATTTTTCTTTTCTCGGGCATTGCATAAATATGCATCAACAGAGAAGTACTCAATCATTTATTCACTCATGCACCCACTGGATCATTCCTAGAAGCATACGAACAGACATATAATATGTATACTCATGTGTGTGTGTGTGATGCATGACAAATAAGGTTAGGCATCCACCTACACACACATACACACACGCGTACACGAAGGCAGATACAAAAAAACAGTGCAATGCAAATATGATTATAACTCGTTAGTATATTTATGAGAATGAATTCAATAGTAATTTGAGTCAACCTTGTAGAAATTTACACAGATGCATGATTTTTGTACAATATAATGAATAAAGAGTTGGAAGAGTAAATAAAAACAATAATAATAATTGATGCAAATCAGTTAAAATGTTTATTTTGAAATATTTCTCTGTGTGTATTAAGAGTCTGTTTGTACAGAGTTTTATGTTTGTGTGTAAATAGTGAGTACACAGTGGTGGTATTATTGATAATAATAATAATAATAATAATGGTGACATTGGTTGTGATTTACTTTTCACTTTTATTCCAATAAAAGCTACATTTTTGTATGATTAAGACATTTAGATGTTTATGAATATTAAACAATTAAAATTGGATTAATTTTCAAGTATTGGTTTTGTAGGGATTTCGTTTGATTGGATGGAGGATATCATCATTTGCTGACCTTAGTTAGAGAACCATTGGAAAACCACCTAGGAATACTGGACAACTGTTTCGTCTGCCTACTATGGGACTCTTCATCAGTAAGTACCCTCCTCCACGGTTCGAACCCAGGACGTTCTGGTTACAAGGCTAGCGAGCTCATAGACCATTAAGCTACGGGGACCGATCCAGTGACCAGTCCATGAATTCAAATTTCTGCAAGTTGCTCTCTACCCGATGTCAGCTCATGATGAAATCCTCCAACCAATCAAACAAAATCCTTACAAACCAATATCTGGAAATAATTAGTTCACAATATTGAAAGAAAACACTGAACAATAGAGTGTCATTTTGATCCTACCTAATATATAAGGTTTGAAGATGAAAGTTAACTTGAGTGACTTTATTTTGTTTGAATACATCCTTCATTGGTTTGTCTTCACTGTTGACGAAATACTATTTACTCTAAAGATAATGGATGCACTGAAGGACTTTAACAATAAGTCAGAAGTAATAGTTCCCCCATCAGTCTTATGTACTTCATTATGCCACGAAAGCTGGCTTACTATAGCTAGTAAGAATTTCATTCAACAGGGCTTATCTCAAAACCTGTGTGCACATTAGTGAATAGTCTCCAGCGGTTCAGTGCTATTTGGGTTTCAGTTTGTCCAGTGAAGAACAGTATAATGGAATCTGTTTGAGAAATGATTAATGACTGAATTTCTCTTAACATCAGTTTGTGATGATATCTACACTGAAATAGAATAAAATCCCTGTGAAATCTAAAAGCTATACATTATAAGGTAGTTAATTAACTAAGCCGGTTTGCCTCCGTAGTACTTAAAACTTACTGATAAGATCATCATTTGTAAATAACATTATTAAAAACAATTTTCATGTACTCAACAAGAGGTATCAGATTTTGCAATTGAAAACTTCTGTTTCATTTAGTGATGGCTTAAATCACCCAACTTCTCTTTTGGAATTTCGCATAGAATATTTATACGAAGTACTGTATATATTTTTTATTCATTCGCGTTCTAAGTGGAATATAGGTCTTCACCTGGAGCACTAAAGTTTCACTAGCAGTGGCGTTATTTTTTTTAAGTGTCAGCGTTGCTATTGTGACATGCAATCCGCTCTCCTTACTGATCTCACAAATGGTTAAGTAAGGCTTAGGAGCAGGTTGATGAAAAATTGAATCAAAGATCACATAAATGGTTAGGGAGTGATAAAACTAACTAATTAACTAACTAACTAACTAACTAACTAACTAACTAACTAACTAACTAACTAACTAACTAACTAACTAACTAACTAACTAACTAACTAACTAACTAACTAACTAACTAACTAACTAACTAACTAACTAACTAACTAACTAACTAACTAACTAACTAACTAACTAACTAACTAACTAACTAACTAACTAACTAACTAACTAACTAACTAACTAACTAACTAACTAACTAACTAACTAACTAACTAACTAACTAACTAACTAACTAACTAACTA